CGGAAGAGGAAGCTCAGCCGTAGTCTACCTTGCATTCCACCATAGCATCCCTTCCGTGACATTCGCCGTCAAATCCACTAGTCTCTCTTATTCCGCGCTTCTCCAACGTGAAGAAGCTGTACTCACAAATCTCCAGGGATGTCCCCAAATAATCCGTTGCTTCGGCCACGATATCACCGCTAATACCTCCAACAAACAAATCTACAACTTTTTCCTTGAATACGCCTCCGGAGGTTGCATTTCCGGCGCCCTACCGGAACCAACCATCCGCCGCTACGTTAGTTCCATCCTCTTCGGTCTTCGACACATCCACAACATGGGATATGTCCACTGTGACATCAAACCAGATAACATCTTAATTGTCGACGGAGAAGCGAAGATCGCCGACTTCGGTCTTGCGATGAGGGTGGGAAAGGAATCCTCCAAGGGAAACATAAGGGGAACGCCGCTATACATGGCTCCTGAATCTGTTTCAAGGAATGAGTACAATGCGGCAGCAGACATTTGGGCTTTAGGATGCTCGGTGTCGAAAATGGCTTCAAGCCGACTACCTTGGCTCAACGTCGATGATTATGATCATGAAATTCAACATCTGTTGTTTCGAATCGCGTTTAGCGACGAGCTACCAGAGATCCCCCTGGAGATGTCGGAGGAGGGTAAGGATTTCATTCGTTGTTGCTTCCAGAAAGATCTCAATAATCGCTGGACAGCAGAAATGTTATTAATGCACCAATTCATGACCTCATCTTCAAAATTGGAATCAGAAGTGGAAGTCATTATGCTCTGTTTTGCACCAAACCCCCAGAAGTGTGTTAAGTTACTCACTCGACAATCCAGTAATTCCACTGACTCCTTTGAAACCTTTGAAACTGTCGGATTTGTTTCCGATATTGGAAGCGGTGAGAGAGATGGTGACGGAATTGACAATTGAAAAACGGATTGGGCTAACACTTTGTCGGAAGAGGTGGAAGGATGGCTTACTGTGAGGGAGAAGAGCTCGGGTGGTAAAATTGAAAAAGAGATTATTCTGCCGAAAGAGTCTATTTTTTATGCGTTAGGTTCCTTTGCTGAATGCTAAGCTGCTAAACCACGATTGGTGTTCTTCTTGAGCTCTGATTCTGAGAAAAATGTAGGGGTTAATCATTAACGAAATAAGCATGATTAGTTATTTAGCAAATTAACCCGGTACTAATGTGTTGGTATCTTTGATCAATTTATTGTTTTTGGTTATAATTCAATTTTAACCTTCTTTACATCTTTCTTTAACTGTCTAACTCTTTATATATATATATATTAAGAAATTGTTTAAAAAAAATTTATTTTAAATATTTTCGTAGTTGAGTTAGTTAAGTTTATTTGGTTTGGTGAATTCGCTTGTTCATCCTATATTAATTAATACTTTTTATTTACATATGACAATGTGTATTTCACATATTAAAAGTTAAATTGATGTACTTTTTTAAATGATATGAAAGATTTTGGTGGTATAAATGTAAAAACCAATGTTTAGACGTTAGACATGTAAATACATTAGAATTAGGTGGTATGCATGTAAATGCCGCTTCTACAGATAATACATGCATTCTTAATCATCAACCACTTCTCAATGCATCTCAAATGATACATATGACTGCAACTCAAAGTCACCGTCTTCTCCTCCACTTGCAGCTCATCCTTTATTTGATCATTAAAACACATAAAAAATTAATTCATAATTCATCATGTAAATTATAGGTAAAAAAAAAAAGTTTCTGACATATGGTGCAAATCTCTAAACTTAAATATGCATTCTGCTGACAATCCGCTGCCATTTCTTCGACTTAGATTTCTTTCATACTGTAAATTTTAAAAAATAAACTTTAATTATTCCAACTTATTAGTAAAAATATTTATTTATATGAAAAAAAAACTCATAAAATTGCATATTCATCGTGCCACCTGTTGTTCTGGTATCTCGTTAACTGTAAGAAATGACTTCAACTGTTACAGCCCTATGTATATTAGCGCGTTGTAGACGCCGCATAGGAGGTGGAATCACATATCCTGTGGATATATATATATATACACACACACACACACACACACATATTTTCAGTATTGAATTATATTTGGCTGATAAGATGAGAATAAGAAAATATTACATGCTTGAAGGGCCAACAACTAATTGCACAATTTAGCACAGATTTTGAGAAATTAACAAAGAAAAAAAAAACCGTTCCAACTCTAATTCATGATCATTAAAAGCTCTGATTTCAACAAATTAACGATCGAACTAACCTGTTCAATAAGACGAACCCAATACTATCAAAGTTTATCCAATGTATGTCAAATCAAACCTGCGTAGATTGCTGTTGAATGTAAATCCTTAAATTTTTTTAAAAGTTATTAATAGAAAGAGCGAGAGAGATTAAAAATAAAGAAAAACGAGATTTATTATGAACTTAGTTCTCTATTTGGAAAGGTAAGGAAATAGTGTATCTTATTTTAATATAATTTAAGATCTCCTCCCGGAGCCAGTCATTTGCCAAGAGCAATTGATATCGGGTTCGGATGGATTGGGTGAGAGGCGCTGCCATCGGACTAAGAAGTTCCGATGCAGTCTACGTTGCATTCCACCGTAGCTTCCCCTCTACTGCATTTACCGTCAAATCCACTAGTCTCTCTTCTTCCATGCTTCTCCAACATGAAGAAGCTGTGCTCACAGATCTGTTGGGTTGTCCTCAAATTATCCACTTCTTCGGGGCCATGATATCACCACCGAGACCACCAACGAACAAATATACAACCTTTTCCTTGAATACGTCGTCGAAGGCTACATTTCCAGTGCCTTAACGAAGCCAACCATCCGACGCTATGTTTGTTTCACCCTCTTTGGTCTTCGACACATCCACAACATGGGATACGTTCACTGTGACATAAACCCGATAACATCTTAATTGTCGACGGAGAAGCGAAGATCGCTGATTTCAGTCTTGCGAGGAGGGCGGGAGAAGAATCCACCAAGGGATACACAAGGGGAACGCCACTGTACGTGGCTTCTGAATCTGCTTCAAGGAATTAGTACAATACGACGACAAACATTTGGGCTTTAGGATGCTTGGTGTCGAAAATGACTTCCAGCTGGCTACCTTGGCGCGGCGTCGAGGATTTTGACTATGGGATTTGGGCTCTATTTTTTCGAATCGGGTGCAGCGATGAGTTGTCAGAGATCCCCTCGGTGAAGTCCGAGGAGGGTAAGAATTTCCTTCATTGTTGCTTCCAGAAAGATGCAACAAACGATGGACTGCATAAATGTTATTAACGCACCCATTCGCCGCTTCCTACTCTTCAAAATTTGAATCAGAAGCGAAAGCCATGGCTTGCTCTGTTTTGCACGCAACGCCCAGAAGTCTGTTTGATTACTCATTGGCCAATTCAATAATTTCACTTACTCATCCGAGAACTTTGAAACTACGGGATTCGTTTTCAATATTAGAAACGGGGAGAAAGTTGATAAGGGAATTGACAACTGAAAAGCGGCCAGATTGGATGAACACTTTGCCGGAGGAGGAGAAAGGACGGCTTACTGTAAGAGAGAAGAGCTCGAATGGTAAAATTCAAGAAGAAATTGTTCTACCTGAAGAGTCCATTTTTTATGCTTGACATTTCTGCAGTGGTATAAATGTAAAATGTAAAATGTAAAATGTAAAGTTTTGGTGTTAAATATTAAAATATATAAAAGTTGAGTGATATGCATGTAAATACCTCATTAGTATATGTAATGTTATCCTAATCATAATAAATTCTTCTCTACAGGAGAACATGAACGCAAAAGAAATGAGAGGAAGAAAATGAAATAGGTTGTGAAGTAGAGATGGACTTTGTTGGTTCATGCCTAAATGCTTGTCTGCCCTGTTTTGTTTAACAATTTTTTACATTTTAATGATAAAGAAGAGGTATGTTTACCATCCCCGAAGTACTTCTACTAAACCTAAAGAGTATGGTGGTTTGAGTCTTCCCAACCTAGACATCATTAATTTAATGCACAACTCCAAGATCATTTGGTGACACTTTAATTTCAACTCTTTTCTTTCCAATTGGTGCCAAGACCACTATAACTCCATTTGGTTTAAGAGAAGGAATAATGTTCCCACCCTTTGGTGGCCACACGTATTAGAAGTTTCTTGGATTTTCAAATCACACGTATTAATAACCACACGTACTTGAAGGTTATTCACTTTATGAAAAATATGGAAACCAAGTCTTTTACTAGTTTCATGGTCATCCATATGTTGTGGTTTCTCATGTCATAAACAATGCATTTTGGGCTGTCCCCACTAACCCCACTACACCTGAACACCTTTTACATACAATACATAATATTCCTATAAAAGAGAATGTTATTATCTATATTAAGAATGACAGAAACTTTTATAAACATAAAGATGTTTTTTCTGGTTTAAGAGCCATTATTTGAAATTTGCTATGTTCACTTGAAAAACTATTATTTCTAGTCTCAAAATTGCTGATATTCTTAACAACAAAGATGTCTTTATGAAAAATCTCATAAATTTGATTGTTCGATGCCTAAATCCTACAACCACCACTTTTTTGAAAGTTGTTTCCCTTTCTATATTCTTAAACAACGCATTCCTTTTGGTAATTTCATTCTGTTTGAGAGGAACTTATTGCATGTTTTTTTCTCACTATGATATAATTCCTTGCAAAATTACTAAAAGATTTCATTTTTCAGGCACAGTGTATTATGAGACAACGTATTTTGCTGGACATTTTCAGGCACAGTCTTGATTTAAGAGACTGTTTAGACATAAGAAATACATGGGAATTCTGTGGAGACATAAGAAAAGGACATGCAAAAATTCTCCAAACAAAGCCTATACTTTGTTAAGAGAGCATAATACTTACTGGTCAATGCGATTACAGAAGTATTTACATATCTAGCACCTAAACTTTAATTTTTATATTATGCTTTGCAAGATGTGTTACACTTTTTAAAAGTTTTAAATAAGTGCATGTGAAAGTTTACAAGTAAATAATTAAATGACATAATTATGTAATTTACTTAATCCAAACATTTGAGAGAGTGATTAATGCAATTAATTTTGGTATATAAAAATGATTAATTAGCGAGTCATTTCATGTCAAAAATATCATAAGGATTTTTAGAAAGTCCATTCATTTGAATTTAATAAATCCTTTCATTTGAGCTTTATAACCTTCATTTCTCTCATTACCAATAGTTAATGTTTGTCAATTTCAGTTAGATAGAATATTACACACAAAAAAATTGAGCAAAACAACATAAAGTAGCAATAACTATAAGAATTATGAACAAATATAATGCTATGATTTAGCCTAAAAATTTGTTGAAAAAAAGTGGCGACGATGAACTATAAAAAATAAAATTTTATCTAATGAAACTGAGAGTGCTAAAGAGACGCTTGATGTGAGACCACAAGCTTCTTCCTAAAGACTTGAGTCGAGTAAATAGACTCCAGCTACGAGTTGAAGAGCTAACGATACA